AGGGATAGTGGATAATGAGAAAATTTTACTCTGTATTTTAATTTTATTTAAGTACTTTTAATTTAAAGTGAATCTTCAAAATTTAAGAGGTCCAATATTTTCATTAAGTGTTGTCAAAGGTATTAAATAAAATTTTTCTTTATATTTTTTTAAGGCTTATAAATATTTTCTCGAACCTATTCTTTCCCATGGCATTAATTAAGGGTAAGACTGGGAGGGGAACAATTAATTTTTACATCACATAAAATTTTGTATTTTCTTGATTTATGTTTTTTCTAGTTGAGACTTACATTGACAGGCGGAAGAAGTATTTTTTATTAAAAATAATAACATAAGAAAAAGGTATCGTGAGAATATCTTTTTATAAAATTAAAATAAATTACAAATTAAATTATTTCATGTAATATTGTATTCTAATATTATCTATTAATTTTGTTGTTGAATTGCCTTCTTGTCGTTTCATGTAACATGTGTCAAACGATGGTTGATTCCTCGTCCATGATTGATTACACGTGGTCATATTTGATTGGGTAATAATTAATCAAGCACTGATTTCACATGTCCCGTGTGAGCAACTGAATCAGATGATGGTATTTTTTTTTTTTTTTGGTTTTTTGTTGCCAAACAGGTGATGGTACTTGATAAGATTACTCTGTCTTTCTTTCTTTCTTCTTTGTTTTTTTTTTTTTTGGGTGAGCCACCCAGTCAATTTATCACATTGACAAGTCATATTCATGGTTAATTTTAAGCCAGAATTATTATGATATTTCACGTTGCAAATATCTTAAAATATCATAATCATAAATTTTATAAATGGTGTACACTGTACAGAAAAAAAATCATTTAATGTTTGGCAAAAAATCATGAGTTTGCAATATATGTATTTTTTGTTTGAATTGAAACACAGGCAAAAGTCCGAATAAAAAGTCTCACATCAGTTTATCAGATTGATTTAGGTCAATATATTTTATCAAAGGTTCATTCAAAACAGTAAAATCGCTATCTCTATTATGAGCATCTTTAGAGTTTGTAATCTATTAATATATAATATATAATGCATAAAGGTTTGGACTATTTATAAATCTTTTTTTTTTTACATAAAAACTCATTGGCTATGTACGGTAGCAGTGACAAACCTACATGTTAGTGGGTGGGGTTAGAACTAGTAATTCAATTGGGTTGGACTCATATGAATTGTCTTGTTAAATTAAACTTGTAAAAAAAACCTATAGAATCAAATATGATCGAAATGGTCTCAAGTTTCGAGCTTAATCATGCTAGTTTGAATTACCAATTTTTTTAAAAAATTACTCTAAAATTAATTATTTTTATCATAAAAATATTATATTTACTTAATTAAAAAATGTAATATATTTTAATTTTTTAAAAAGTAATTATTAACAATTTTTAAAAGTACCCATATTGAATAAATCACTTTATATTTTTTTTAAGGTGAACTATCTTATTAAATAGGGATAAATATGAAAAGATAAAATTAGTTTGAGGACAAGTTTTATTTGAAGGTAAAATTTAATTAAAAATACTTGATATTTTTAAATGGAGAGAGCATATATTTTTAAAAATATATATAAAAAATTACATGCAAGACATGTAAAATTCACCTTTTCTGAGCCCAATTATTTTAATATTTTGATTCTACTGAGTTTTAATTGTGATATTTTTACCTTTTACCCTGATCGGTTATTGATTATTTGTTTTGATAGGTATAATTTATTTCCAGGAGTTTTGAGCAGGTTGGCGGTAACTTTTACATTATTTAGGATCACAATGTATACTTATACAAAACCCTCTCTTTTCTTTTCTTTTTTAAAATTTTAAGATTCAATAAATTTAACTTTTAAATAAATTAATCGTCTATTTAATTAACCATTTAATTAATTAATTAATTATGGACCAAATGAAATATCTCTCGTCAAATCCCTAACAACCATTTTGTTCCTTTTCACATAATACTGATTGAAACAAATAATTGAAGCAAGGCAACAGGCGACAATTATATTATGTCATAAAAAAAATGAAAAGAAAGGAAAAGCGAAAAGCGAACATCTGCTTTGCTTTGCTTAGAGTAACACCAATTATTTGTAGTTAATCATTAGTAACTTAACTTAAAAATTCTCATTTAATATAAACATAAGTAAGTACTTCCACACGATCATAATTAGAGTAGATCCATGCATTTACACGGAATCCAAAATAAAAAATATTATTTAAAAAAAATTACACTCAGCGCTCTCTAAAAAAAATTAATTATAAATAAGGATTGATATGAAACAGATTATTATTAAAGTAAGAATATGACTTATTTTTTTCTTGAATAAAATTTATTGTTGAGTATTATTTGTAATGAATTTTCTTAAGAGGAGGTTGAATGTAATTCTCTCTCATTTAAAAGTAGCGTGACTTCATGTAATTTATATATATATATATATATACACGTATTGATAATGTTGGTCAAAAAATATATTAATATTGATAATGATATTTATTGTTGGGGCTGTTTGGAAAAAGAAAGAAGTTTTAAGTTGTTTTTGTCCTTCCATCAAGTTTAGAGTTTTTTTTGAATGTTTTTTAAGCAAAGATGGACTTCTTGTATTTTAAATTGTTGAAGTCTATATCATTATTGATTAAAGACTACATTATAGTGGTGAGTTAGGTTTAAATGCTGCAATTTTTACTATTTTTTAAGGAGAACGATGATAACGTCTTTGAAAAATAGTTTATTGTATAAAAAAAAAAAGAATTTACATGATTGTTAAGTTCTTGATAAAATTGTTTACAAAATAAAATTTCTAAAAAAATTATCATAGTCAAGTCTTAAATTCAATTAGTTGAAAACAGAAATTTCAATTATAAATTAAGATTTACATTTAGAATTTAAATATCTAATTTATAATTAAAATTTATGAATTTGCAATTATTTGAATTTATATTTACAAGTTATTTTTTTAAAAATTTATTAGGGACCTAACTGTTATTAAATTTTTCTTTTTAAATTTAAGTATATTTTTTATATTTTTCTATATATTTTAATTCAATAGTATTTCAATCCAATATCATTATATTTTGGTATAATTTTTCTTATTTTTCAAACTTTGTATAACAATAAGTATACTGATAAAAGAATTGCCTTCCACAGTTTGCCTCATAGTAAAACCTTTGACATTGATGAGTTCCATAAGGGAGCAGGCGCAGGAACGAACTCTATGAGTGGAAGCCAATTTACTCACCACAAATTTAACTCTAAGTATCGTTTGATATGATACATGAGACTGTAATAAAATATGAAAGCAGAGATTGATATAGAAATGAAGATGGAAACGTTGATTAAAAATATGTTTAGCATGATTATGAGAATCTAATTTAGTTTTTAATCAATATATACATTTAAAATGTGTAAACACTAAAATACCTTTCAAATTCAACAATTCAGATCTACTTTGTTGAGGAAGGTAAGTCACAAAATCAAACGAGACTAAAGAATAGATAAAGTTAGTGGCTTGAACGAAGGATACTATCGTCAATGGAGAAAAAGAGGAATCATGCGCCCTCAGCAATAAAGGTTGCTGTAGCTAAGAAGCTCGCATGGTGATTGGTGGGAAGTTTGTCGGCGAGAATCTTAAAAGTTTACAGATAACTATAAATGAGAGAGAAAGGTGTTGGTCAAAAAAGAGAGAAAGGGGGTAAAAATAGAGAGTGAAACACAAAATTAAACTCTAAATTCTATATCCATACACCTTAGGACTTAAGCCCTCTTTAATATGTAGGTATAAAGTTTGAGGGATTAAAATTAAGATTGGAATTGTAATGCGTATTGGACCTGAGATTGAGATTTTAAAAATATATTTTATATGAAGTAATATTTGAATAGAATACTTATATTAATTTTTTTTAATAATCTATCAAAAATAAACAAAATACCATAATGCCCTTTAGCATTAATTTAAAAAAAATGCACAATCGATGATGAAGATGAACAACTGTACAGTTAAGGGGAGGAAGAAGATTTTATTGAACTCCTCCATTCCTCTTTCCAATACTTTCATTCATTTCACAGTTCAGGGCAAGATCAAGTTTCTCGAGCTCTACACTTTGAATCGAAGCTGATTCTTGAGGAGACAAATAACATGTTGGAGCTTCTTGATAGTGGATGCGGGGGAGTTGGAAGAGAGGGCAATGGAAGAGGAGGAAGGACAAAGTTTTGACCAAAGCCACACATGCTATCGCCCATTTTAGGAACTTGAAACCTCGAGTTTTAACCTCATCATCTATGTAAGTGTTGCTGCAATTCCGCCTCATATTATCTCATTTGATTGTCCACACGCTCTAGTTCAAATGGATTGCAGATCTTAAACACGAGATAATGGTTAAAGATGGCAATTGTACATATAAGATAGAAGGGCGTGAGGACCTACTAACTTGAGACACGAGGGAGACAATGCTGGCATTGGTGGTAGATAAGGATTGAATGTTACCATTAGTAAAAGATAGTGTCCTTCTCGACAACAGATGTGGAGATTGGAGACTACTCAACGAGGGAGGGGCATGGAGTGAAAGGCAATTTGTCTATAACTTTTTAATATTGAGATTGATTTTTCAATACCAAGAGGAGGTGGTACAGGGTATTCCCACCTAAATGGAATTGGACTCCAAAAAAAATTTGTCACTCTCACTTACCAAATATAAAAGCTTAATATTACTCAATTTCACTTGCTCAATCTTACATATCAAATATATTTTTAAAATTTTGGCTTGTAGGAATTATACTACTACTAGTAGTAGAAGTAGTAATAATAAAAGAAATTTTAGTTTAGGTTAAATAACTATTTTCATGGAAAGAGGATGTGGCAACGAATGTAGAGAGAGATGGGACGCCACTTGTATCCTTAAAATCCAAGTCGACCATCCCACACAAAGACGTTTCATGAAAAGGCATAAGAAAACAGAGCACAAACCGCAACCGATTTCATTCATTTCGTTCCTTGTCTTCTTATAACTTCTTATTTCATTTTAGTAAGCAAAACCCAACCCAAACTCCTTCTTCTTCTTCTTCTTCTTCTTCTTCAACCAATTATCTACTATTTCCTTGCTTCTCCCTTTCCCCATTTTCCTTGGAAATTTCTTTTCCCTTTCTCTTCATTATCCTTCCACCCCACTTTTTCCCGTGACTTTCATTTCTCTCACTCTCTCTCTCTATATAAACGGCTATTCATCTTTTGGTCAACACAAGTCTTTCTTTCTGAGTCTTCTCACATGGCTTCTATTTCCCATGGTCTTGTTCTCACCACCGCCATGCTCGTCTCCAGCACCGTTCTCTATCTTGGTTTCCTCAGGCAGAAGACTTTCCCTCTTCCCAACCTTCACGGTATTTCCAATTCTGATTCCCATCACCCAAAGAACAAAGCTCTCCGCTCTTGCTTATGCTCAGGTTACTTCTCACTCTCCCTGTTTTTTTCTTTTTCGTTTTCCTTTCCGATGCTTCTTCTCGTCACTCGCCTGAGAAAGTTTTGTTTTGTTCGTTTTTGTTTGTGGGTTTTTCAGAGGAAAGGAAGAGGGAAATCAAGAAGAAGCAAAAGAGGGTGAAATTCGCGGATAATGTGAAGGAAGACGCCGGAACCGAGACGGAGAAGAAGGATCTCCGGGGAAAACAGAGGAAGAAAAACAGAGCATCAAGTAGCTGCAGATATGAAATCCCAGAAATCCGAGAAATGCCAGAGAACCGAATCGCTCTGTACAACGGGATTCTGAGAGATCGAGTGCACAGGCTGGAGCACTCTTGCTGATGGAGTCGTCATAGCCGTTACTGACTTCATCGGCGAAGATCGAGGAGAGAGAAAAAGAACAGGAAACCGGTAGAGACGAAGACGACGACTTGACGTGTCCGTGTGTGAAGCGTTTTCTGCAGTTGGGTTTAATTTAAGAATTAATTAATTACTTTGTGTGTTTGTGGAGAGGGAGGAATGAAAAATCTGAAAGAGAATCGTGTGGCTGTAAACAAATAAGAGAGAAGAAGCTTTTTCCAAGTCGAGGATTTTCTTGGAGTTGTCGAGCACAGTTTTGTATATCTTTCAATTTGTTTGTGTTTGTAATTACTGTTCCTCCACGACGTGACACCAGTTTTATTCTCACATTTCTTCGCTCCTAGTCTTTTCTTTACCCCCCTAATTAGATGTTCTTATTGTAAACGATCCTGTTTTTGATGGGATTCGGACATGAGATGTGAACAAATTATTAATCAATGTCCGTATTTATTGAGAAAAAGATCATTATATCCTTAAAATTGTTAAAAAATATTATATAGGAATTTAAATAATAAAAAATAAACAGAGGATAAAATTAAAAAAACAATAATTATTCTAATTTTGTTTTATACTCAAAAATAAAATAAAAATTCAAACTCTGCTTTACATCAAGATGAGTATGCAAATCTAAATTCTGTTAAAAAGATATCTTTATTGTTCTGAAATCTGAGGTCAATACACAATAATGGGCTGATCATACGATGACACTGCAACAGCGTATATTATTTATAATATGTATTAGTTACTCCATTCAATCCCTAGGATCCTTTTATAACGGCCTTGAATGTTTGTCAGGCTAATAGTCTTACATGTTTTGTCTAAATTATTTGTTTTTTTACTTTAATTTTTATTACTAATTATAAAACCTTTTAATTAATTAAATAAACTTATTTAAATAATGATTTTATTTAAGGTAATTTGAAAATTTTACAAGAAATAATTAATTTTATTTAATATTTTTAATTTACGTAATGTTGTTAATAGGTGGTTATCAAAATTATGATTATCAAAGGAAATATACAATATGTTTTTTTTGATTTATATTTGCTTATGTCTAAAACACAAGGTTTGATAATTACTATTTTTTGTTTTTTTTTAAACTGAGATCGAAATTTTAGTGGTGAGGGTAATCAATTTTTTTTTTGTTAATATACAATTTAGACCTAAAATTATAGGGTTAGGGGTAATTTAAATCTAAATTTTAAAAAGGTGTATTATGAATCCTAAACGATTAAAATTGAGGCAATTTCATCTTCACCATTAACTTTCAACAAATGTCTCCAAATGAATCTAATGAATGTTTGTTGAAAATTAACAGTTGAGGCAAAATTGCCTCAACTTTAATTATTTGGAATTTAAAATATAACTTTTTTAGAAATTTAAGATTCAAATTACCCCTAAACCTATAATTTAGGGTTCAAATTACATATTAATTTTTTGATAATATTACAAATTCCCCAGGATATAAGAAGAAGGAATAAAAAAAAGGTAAATAATAATAATGATGATGATGAAACTATATAAAAGAAGGATATAAATTATAATAATGAGTAAAATAGTTTTTTATGAAGATTATGTTGAGTATGAATGAGATCGTGTCAAGTTGATTATTTTTGTTCTTGTTAGGTGGGGTTTTGATAGGCCATCAGAGGGAGCAATATGAACATAACATAATCTTTCACTATAAATGTACTTTCATATTTTTTCCTGTTTGTTCTTTAACGTAATGGAATCTCATAATAATATCAGTGAAAAATACATTATCATTCTTTATTAGGAAAAAATCTAGAATAGATTCCTCTTCATATACTTCTTTTATCTCTTTATTTATTTTTCTGTTTCATAAATTTTCATATTCACCAATCAATTCAAATAAAAAAACTTACACAATCATTTAAAATTTTTTTTAAAAGTGATATAACATGCAAAATATACTTTTTTTTGTTACTATTGAATTATTATTAATTAAAGTGCATTTTTTAAAATATAAAAGAGTTAATATGTAATTTAGACCATCAATAATAGATCTAGGAATAATTTAAACCTTAAACTTTTAAAAGTATATTTTGAACCTTAAATAATTACAGTTGAGGCATTTCGCCTCTACCGTTAACTTTCAACAAACTTTTGTTAAATTGGAGCTTAAAGTATAATTTTTTTAAATAAATTTGACGGATGTTTGTTGAAAATTAATAGTGGGAGCGAAATTACCTCAATTGTAATTGTTTAAGATTTAAAGTACATCTTTTAAAATATAGAATTCAAATCACCCCTGAACTTATAATTCAGGCTCCAAATTATATATTAATTCTTTTTTTTCCTTCAATAAAGTCAAACAAACAAGTATTTACATTAAGACAAAAGAAATAAAACTGAGTAAAGTCATTCAGGAATTTTGTGGACTTGCATCAAGTAATAGTCTTGTCATTAAATGAAAGGACCAGAGTAGTTATCTCTTAGATTAAAGTGTTCGGCAAATTGCAACCAATATACTTAGCTTAGGTCATTTTAAACATGAATATTTTGAGAGTATAGTAATTATTAAGTATAGTAAGAGTCTAACTATTAAATACCTAGGATAATGATGATGCACCTGAAATTTTATTGATAGTGATTTCACGCATTTTGCAAATATTTTAACGATTCATTTATTACACATAGTGAATTTCAACACTTATTTTTACCCAAAACTATTTGATTCAATGACATAAATCTTTTTCTTTGATATAAGGAGCCGTGAGTTGTATTCCCTGTAGGCCCAAAATTAAGTAAAGGAATCATGTTAAGTGGGTTTATGTAGGTTAATTAAGTATTATGTGCTTGTGTTGTTAGTTGTGTGCTGAGTAGATGAGTGATATGTCCCTCACTCCAGTTTTTTTTTTTTTTTTAAGAAAATAGATTTTCTTGTTTTTTATTTTAATATACATACCAAATGAATCAAATCAATATTTCATTTATTTTTACGTAACATACTAAACATATTTTACATTCACTCCCACACTTTCATTTCATCAAAAATTCCTCTAGAACACTAAACGGGGTTCAAGAGACATTCCATATTGCAAAGATTGAGGCCAAATCAAAACGAGATGATCCGAAAATAAATACAAACATATGAATTGCAAAATTTAATGACCTATTCACTAACTCTCTCGGCAACAAATTTTGTATCCAATATGGGTTTTGAGTCTCACACAAAATATGATAAATGAATTTTATTATTTATGACTTATAAATAATATAACTATAAAAACAAAAAAAGAGGAGAGGATAGACTTGAAAAATGAACGGCCAGAATTATATGAACTCAAACTTAAAAGTTTTTTTAACTCTAAAATTGACAATTTTTTAAAGTTTAATATTTATTGATTACATTTAAAGTAGGGTTTCGAAAGCCCGTTTTTATTTTTTTATTTTTTTAAATTAAGTCTATTAACATTACAATATTACATATCTATGCTCTAAAATATAAATTAAAATGTTTTAAAATCTAAAATAAATAATATAATTTCTAATTTTGAAGTACAAATACATATTTTAAAATCTAAATTTAATCCAAAGATATAAAATACCCCAACTTTCCATGTTTCAAAATAAGTACAAGTTTAAGTGTGTAATTGAGTTTAACCCCATTAATTTTTCCAGGCTTAAATAGGACAAACTCAGAAGCCTTTCATACTAAAGTATCTTAACTTCCAAAATCCGAGCCTTTAAAAGACAAAAGCTTAACCAGGTAGTCCCACCAGTACGGCCTGTCTTGGAGAGAATGGAAGTCAAGCGAACGGTGAAGAGACGTAGAAGAATTTGCAGCCGACAATGAAGTCCGTGAAGGACTGAAAGGGTGGGGAAGAGCATGAAGGCACCACATGGGAAGAAGGAAAGCGAGATAGATACAAGAATCAAAGAAGAAAAATGGATCACACAAACCCTTATAAAGGCACCAATTGTGCGAGTACAACGATGAATACTTTGAAGATTCATGGAACTAGGACTGACCCAAGTCTGTCTCAAGCCAATCTTATTACATTACCTAACATTCACTTGATTCCTCACCACTAATCTCTTATCTCTTCAGTACACATTGCAGATATTTCATCCTTCACTTCCACATCTTCACGTGATCGCTCCCTGCAACTCTGGAGCTTGCATGTTCCACAAGTTCTCTAACGCGTTGCTGTCTTTATATGTACGATTAGGTTCAACTAACGCGGTTCTCAGGTGAATGTAAAAGAAACAAAAAGATGAGGCCAGGACTATTTGTTGAATGGTTCTGAGTGGCGTTGCCATGATTTCAAATCTCTAACACCGACCAAAAGACAATCAATAGTTAAGGATTTGATTCTTAATTTATAAAGTTGTAGATTTGAATTTCACCGACAATATAAAGATTTTATTGGTGAGTGATTTGTAAGTGCTCTTCAAAGTAGAGGTATTTACGTGTATATGTAAATAAAGGTAAAGAGCAAATTTGTTTTAAACTATAAATTCAGGAGCTTATGGAATCTTAAACTTATATTTGGTGCACTGTTTTTCTTTAATTTTTGAAAAATATGCAATTTAATCATTACCATTAATAAAAGTTAACTTTGATTGTTAGTTGATTTGAAAAAAAAAACCTCAAAATTATAAAAAAAATAAAAAATCATCAATAGAATTTTTTTAGTTTTATCTGTAATTTTTGGGTCATTTATTATAATATTTTTTTATTATTTTTTATAATTTTTAAAGTTATTGTCTAGTTAACTAATAATAAAAGTTAACTCTTGTTTACAGTAGGGTTATATTGCATCATTTTCAAAAATTAAAGAGAATATTGCATTATCCCAAACACACATGAACCTATAGTTTATGAATCAATTTATTCTTTTATCAAATATACAACACCTTGAAGACTGTATGGACCCACCTTCCTAAATTTTTTATTATGCACTAGTATCATTCTTCTAAAAATATTTTGTTTGAAATATGATTAAGATATCATGTTGTAAAGAAATAGTCTATTTTACCAGAGCCAACTCTCATCCATAAATACTAGATTTTTTGGGTGTATTGATGTGCTCTCCAATTGGGTGCAAGGTTACACATAACACTGTACCTGCCTACTAACTAGCAGAGATCATGGATTTGTTAGTATAATGAAACAAAAAGTACATCAACTAATATCTACACAATCCAATTCAAAATGGTGGTTGAATTCAGTCTTGAATGTTGAGTGAACCTTACTTATTAATGAGAATATAAATAAAAATCATAGTAATATTAATTTTGTTTTCTATAATTTGAGAGTAACAAATATTTCCCTGCACAACCGTCCTTGCAACATTTTATTTAAGGATCTAACAACGCATATGCAGGAACAAACTATCATCACAATCCCCAAACACCCATTTATTTGGGCGCAAAACGAAAACATGCACTTTCCTTTTTTTTTTTTTTGGTATTTTGTTTAATTTGAACCAAAATACCCATTCCCACTTGTATAATTTACACATTCACCCATTAAAATTTCGATCTGTTAAGCAGATACTATACATTGAATTTATATAGTTCCTCAACAGATTAGATTGGATTATATTAAAGATTGTGTGGTTTAGGAAGAGCATACATTATAGACGCCCTGTAAATATTAAACCCAATACAACTCTCAATAAATTCAAGTTTCATATTACTTTGTAAACTTCATCAGTAGAAGAATATCTCCAAAGGGGAGGAAAAGCACGGATGAACAAATCCATTTAAATATCTCAAAGGAATTTTCAATCAAATAAATTAAGGCAGCGTGAGAATGAAGACAGAGAAAGAATATGATAAATCAAGTACTGTTTAAACTATGGCAAACACAAAAGCTTGCTGCCATTCAAAATTCTTCAGAACTATCGTACAACAAACATGTTAGTGAGGAACTCCTAAGCTAAACCAAACTGAGTAACCAAAACTGGGGCCTGCAACACAAAGCTAGAATCAAGGTTTATGCTCCTCTTTCTCATATATTGACAAAAAGAAGGTATCTCAGGGTCAGTCTCACAATCACTTATGCTTATCATTCATCTTCACCAACTGCAACTAAGATCCGTGCTTGCTTTTCTCATCTTCGTAACCTGATGCCCTTCCTTTCCTTCCTATGAAATACGGCTCAGGTACAGTGTTTTCGTTATCAATATTCAGACCTTGATAAGATCTTGCAGCGAAAAACTCAGCTCCTGATTTAGCATCCCTTTTAATTAGAGAACTACAGTGATCCCGCAACTGCAATGCCTTCTCTGTAGCATGAACTAAAGCAAGGGCTTCTCTATCTTCCTCGGCGTTTTCTGATTAAGTCAGTTTAAATGATCAATAGTTAAATGGGATATGGATAATCTTTTTTGGGAAGTAAGAACAGGCAAAGACAACTAGATCAAAACCACACTTGCTTAATGATAAGTTATCAGCATTATAAGAGAAAAAATTATCAACAAAATCATTAACCATTATCATTCAGTTACAAGAAAAAAGCAAGGAATAGAAAGCGAGACACTACCGTGGCCATAGATATCTTCCACATATCCACCCTGCAGGAATGAAAACCGTGCTTCTTCCTGGTTCTTAGCTTCCACTTGAGGCAAATGTATTAGATCACGAAATTCCATTACATAGGATCCTGTCCATTGACTTCCCCTGGGAACATAAAATTACTTTAGCATAAAACTTGAGGAAAGCAGATCACAGTCGTCAAGCTTCTAATAACAGGCACATCACTTGTATGAGACGTTCAAGTATGGATATCAATAAAGATGGACACTAGATTCTAATAATTTATTCTATCTATAGTGCATGCGTGACTACATAAATCAAGATTTTTTGACATAGGGATATTTTGGTATCGTATTTTCCATTTAAAGAAAAAAATCTGTAGCATTTTATTACTCAAGCACAGAACCATCCCTTTTGACAATAGAGATGGACCTGAGAACTTGTTCTCGGCGAACAAGATGTCTTGTACGAAAATCTATAATATCTGAGAATTCAGCATCATAAAAAACATTAAATGGGTTTGAGTCTCAATCAGTTCATAAAAAGATAAACTACAGGAAGCTTGCTATTCCTAGAAAGAAAAATTTGTCATTTTCCAATTAGCATAGTTAAGAATTAAAAGATAAAATAGAAATGGTGTTGGTGAGGCTGCTAGAACGAAAGCAATGATTGGAATGGATGCCAGCACCCAAAAAAAAAAAAAAGTGTAATTGACAAGTCAATTTGACATATAACATGATAGGGTACCTGCTGAAAGCTATTGTTGCTTCAAATGGAGTAATAACTGGGGCTAGGTACTCTTTGCTATCCAGGAGAGCAGTTTGGGCACAGGAGACATAAACGAAAACATCACACTGAAGAAAATCAAACTGTTAATAATAGATACTTTTTTCAGTAATAAAAAAGCTATGCTTGAAGTCTCAAATGAACCAAACATCACCTCAGGAAAGTTAGCAAGTTTAGCTGGGTTTGGTCTTCCCATGACCAAAGTATAGGCCTTCTTTCCTGCACTGGTAATGAGTTCTTTCATCTGGTGTATCATGTGAAGATAACCAGCTGCATCAGTAGTTTCAAATCAAACCTCATTTTTGGTAGAATATACTAGTTTTTATACGCAAATACTTGAAACACATGATTTTTGTTAGTCATGTCATTGAAAAAGAGAGAGAAAATACGCAAGCGGTAAGAAGAATGAGAAGACTGATTGCAAAGCAAAAGAATCTAAAAAATGCTGGCACCAAAATAAAAGGAATACAGTCCAGTATAGCTAATACCATTACTTCAGCCAGTAAAGCATGGAAAAAGAAGTGAAGCATTTATAAATGGAAAACTAGTCAAGAAACTAGTACCAGTTTCAATACATAAAAAAGCAAGAAATGCAGTTTCAACAGTGTGCATTTTCAGAATTTAGTGAAAAGCTGAGGGTCATCGGTATTATTAAAGCATTCAGGAATTGGTTCGTCATGAAATGAAAATGAGCATATAGATGCTAATATCGACCATAACAAAGTATTAGCAATGAGTAAAGTAATGTGCAGCACACAAATTGACGAGCACACCTAAATAATGGATGCAACAATACAAGTTTTCATAAACTAATAGTGCTTTGGCAATATCCTTGAAAGGAAAACCAAAGTTCTAACAGTAAAACATACCAACACCAAGAGTTCCCACCAAAATCCCAATGATATTTGCATCTTTAGCCCTCTCAACTAAATAATATCTGCATAAATCATCATTCCAATTGGTCAACACTAGACTTAATTAACTAAGTATTATTTAAAATATGAGATGATTGTAGGTAAGGACAGCGTTTGATGTTGGGATATGTACCTACGTTTAAGAATCCTCCTCTGTTGAGACAAGTCAGTCATGAGTCGGTTCTCAGTTGCATCATATCTGACTACAACAACCAGTATCACAATTAAACCAATGATTCACTTAGAATCTATAGCAGAAAAGTGAATCTGGATTTACATTTAAGAAATACTAGGTAGACACCATGAACAAAGATTTTGCAATATTAAGCATAAGATTAGATATTATAGTGTTAGATTAGTGCATGAATATCATGAGAGAGAGCATGGATAAAGAAAGCCAGAGAAACACAAGAACATGAATTAGAGGACTTTTGATATAGGGTAAATTACCAACCTGTTTCACAGGCATTGAATGTGAGCACAACATTTGCAAATGCTGAATTATCAAGCCCAATCCAAAAGATCAAGAAGTCATCCATGCTTTTTCCCTCGGGTAATTTCCAAACCAATCCTCCGATGCTATACATAGGTCCACTAGTCTCATTAGAACTGCCATTATTGGTCAAACCATTAGCTGCTTCCTGCAGCCCATTTAAGTTTCTGAAATCTTTTGATGGAAACATAAATGAAGATGGAACATCAGCAAAATGAACTTCTGATTTCAACTCAGATCTACTTGACATTAATGCTTCTAATGTTGCTGATTTAATGTGTTCCATTGAATATGAGTATTCCAGCCCAAAAAGAACCTGCAATTGAGATGGAAATCAGACCAAATGATAGATAAACATTACAGGATAGCTATTTACATAATAAATATCATGCTTCATTTTCTACTCATTACAAATCCAATTACTCTTTCTTACAAAAAAATGCGATCGCATAAATATTTGATAATTGGTTATACCATGATAGGCTTGCTACACGAAAGAGCATATTTTGAGAGACTTTCAACACAGTTAGCTATGCTGATAGAAGCCTTCCCAAAAACAAAGAAAGCTGGTAGAGTTGTTGTCCTGCAAAGATCAAAGAGGACTTTAAGTCTTGAATAGGACCCAAAGAGAACAATGAAATTGAAAGGCATGCATCTCCCATTTCGCAGAATATAAAATGTAACATCCTAAATATTAGCATAGGTAACTAGGGTTTACCATCACCAGATGGGAAAATCAGATACATCTTGATAATAATTTATGCAGAAAGATACAGGATGCATAGCATTAACAAATCAAGGCAAAACCAAAGCTCGAATTGTCTACCTATGGAAATTTTGCAGAGATTATCAGGAGCACTTACGGGCTAAAACATGTCTGTCCATAATGAATGACACAATCAGCATTGATGTGTAACGCTGCAACTTCATCAACACAGCAACTACCATATGTTGTGTCTGCCATCACATACAACGCTGCCTCTGTCAAATCCACACTTCCTGTGACATCGTTTTCTCTAAGTGATTGAAGGCGTTGGTTTAATGCTGCAACCACTTTTGTTGAATCTTTTAGGAGGTTATCTGGAAACTGAGAAATTAATAAAGGAAGGTCAGTATAGCTGCAGAACAAGCAGATTATTTTTACAATTGGGTTTTTCAAAACAATTCTTTCCAGTGATATGTTTGATTGGGGGCATGTTTTTCCATTACTACTTGAGTAATATAAAGATTTGAACTTTTATCACAAGAAGGAACAAACTCTGAAGTAGTAGGCCTTACTTGCAAAGCAACTCTGGGGAAGTTGCGGCTGTGAATGAAGGCCGCAGTGGCGGAAATATCGTAGCTTGATTCAAAGTCCATGGCTTAACGCGACAAGCGATGAAGAAACACGCGCTGTCCTGGACTCGATGTTGAACACACAGAGAAGAACCAGATCAATGGAATTACGAAACTCAGAACTTTAGCGCCAACCTACAGCCGTGAAATTTCTGTGGCGCCGCACGTTGAAAAACTTAAAACTTGAATGCTTTGTGCCCACCCACAGACTAAAATTTTTGCTGCGATCAAAATCCTTTCTACTCGCAAACATGGAGACCGAAAACCGTTCCGTTTTGGGGCTGCAAGGAGGGAAAAAACAAAAAAATCAATAATCTACCCCGTTAATGGTTAATTAATACTTAATTGAAAAGTTAATTGCCATCAATTTAATTTTTCTAATTAAGATGAAAACTAAAATTAAAATTATTCAAATTAAATCAATGTATCTTTTAAATTTAAGTTGATAGATTTGTTTATTATTGCTTGAGTCTTAAGTAGTGTTTGGAATTTTTTTTTTAAATGGAATGGAATGTTCCGTCCCAATCCATCCAATTCTATTTTATTGATAACAATTTCTTTTCACTTTATCTTGTATTCTCAAACATGCCTTTAAAGCATTTTTTTAAGGGTCAATTTTGTTTCTAAATTATACATTAAAATTCACAAATAATTTTAAAACTTAACTTAATGTTAATTTTGTTTTTCAACTCTAAAAAATTTGCCGATTGTGCCATTGATGTCAACTTGTACCCTTTTTTAGTTTTGTGGGTCCCATATTTAAATTTTTAATTTTTTTATTATAAATATTATATAGTGAGTCCAATTTTAATATATTTTATAATATAAACACACGCGCTCTCTCTCTCTCTCTTTCTTTGCCTCATTGATTTGCTCCCTCTCACCCCACTCTCTCCCTCGTCTCTCTCTTACCCTGCTCTCCCTATCTCCTTCATTCTCTATTTTCTTCGAGTCCATGCATGATGCAACCTATTTATACATGTGAAGGAAGCTCTAGAGAGATGTTGAAGGTGAAGGCATTGCCAACGATCATTCTAATCTCTACCCTCTCTCCTTCATTTTACTTTGAGAAGAAACTGCTTCTATAATAATCCATTTTTGTTTTGGCTTAGCGTTAACATCGATGGCAACGACCCTCTCTTTACCACCATCATTCAACTCAAAAATGAAATGAATGGTCTTGTAAGTTCTTTGATGGTGGCTCATCTCAAAACAAGTTTTTGAAAAGGCATATATGTGCGAGAAAGATGAAAGAAAGCAAAAGATGGAGGCTTTGCTTTATGGAAACTAGAGAGAGATGTTAATGGGATCATTGATGGTGACCGAAGAAATTGAAAATACACATCAAGAATGTGAGATGGAATGATGGAGATTGAGTTAGCAGAGCTTACTCTGTTTTAGATTGTGAAACAGAGCATGCTCCATCTCCTTCATCACTACATTTTCTACATGGTCCCTCGAGCCTAGTCCTCTCTCTATCTCCAATTCTACCTCTCATTCTCTAGTCACCTCACCAATGTGTTATAAAACTAGAACCAATAAGAAATTGAAATGAAAGAAATGAAGAACACAAGAGAAAATTGAAGAAAAAGTAGGAGTGATTCTTATTCATTTTTGGTTATTACAAATGTGTATACATCACCTCTATTTATGGGAACCCAATAATGAAGACTAACCACAAGAGTTACAAATATATAAAGAAGAGAATTAAATGATGTAATTGTTCAATAAAGGTTATATAAAATAAATACTAGAAATCTTTCAATTAGGGTCATGGGATATAATGTCATTTGATATGGATGAAATGTAAAAAGTTGGGTGTTATGAACATCTACACCTAATTATTGTATTCATAACAGTATAGAAGTTACAGGTTAGCATGAGGTTGGCTCTTTTTTTCTTTTCTTTTTTTTTCCCTTGCTCAAACCACCAACTCCGGCCCCCCAAAAAATAAAAAAAAAACAAAAAAACAAAAGTCTAGCCTTATCAAAAATAAGGGAAAAATGCGTTAGGCTCTTCTTTTAACATCTTATAAGTAATGGGTGATCGATGCAAATATTTTTTTGTAATTGTATATAATTCTACATTAATCCTTTTCTTTTTAAAATCCAGGTATAATAGAAATTTCATACTCTTGAATTTCCCTCAATTATTAATTATTAATTTAGTCTATCAAATTTAATTTTTATTGATTATATTATTTAAGTTTACATCGATTAGTGATTTAATTTTTATTATTTAAAGAGAAAGTAACATCATTAATTTACTTATACAAATAACGGATAAGTTGGCATCCATGTATATTAATAAAAAAGAATTCCAATTATTTAAATAAAAAAGAAACAACTCATAAATTTAAAAAAAACAGTGTATAGGAAAATAAAGGTAAATAAATAAAACATGAACATTAAGGATGGGAAAGAAGAACATAAAAAAAAAAGAAGAAGCTAATTTTTGTTTATTTGGCCAAACATACATGTTGAGTCATCAATATACTTTACTATTAGATTAATTTCAAGGTCAATTTGTGTTTCAAAATTTTAAAAAACTAACATGATAATTTAAACAAAATATAAAATATTATATTGATAAAAATTAAACTTATGAAATTAAATTGACAACAACGCGAGGCATTAAACTAAATGTTTATATTATCGCTAAATATAACATCTATTTTAGGTGTATTGTTGAACTTGGTCAAAGCGGATTTGGTGTGAATTTTTGTTTTATAGTTTTGTTGGAGTTATATAATATAGTAAAATATGGGCATATAATTATGACCAGTGAGGTATATTAATATCAGGTGCTCCTTTCTTCTTTTTTGATAAATAAGAAACAAACAAAACAAACATCAAATGAAAACTAAACTCCTCCATGAATGAAGGAATAGAGTCACCAGCCACTACGTGAAGACCCAGGGGAGAGATAAGGCACGTTTCGCTAAGGAATCAGCTTCTGAGTTGAACTCCCTTCCAATGCATCTCATATCAACCTGCCAATCTTTTTGAAGTATTTGTTGAATTTTTCAGCAATAAGCTCTCGATCTTCATGAAGGTCGTAATTATTGGCTCTTAATAGAGACAGTGCTTCATGACAATCACTATAGATTCTTACATGCTCCTTTCTTCTTAATGAACTAAATGAGGAAAGGAAAATATTATATAAAAGCAATTGCCAAGTTGTGATGTGTTAGTTTTGTTGAAGAGTTGTGATGGGTTAGTTACTTAGTCACATGAATAATTAAAAAATTATGTGATTTGCAGAAATCAGGTCCAATTGGTCCAGATTAAACAAATGGAACTGAAATGTTTCGATTGACTTTAATTTATATATAATTTTCTATTAGATTAGAGGCACAACAAAGGATTTTAAAAAAACTAGAATCTTTTTGGCCTAAAAAAAAAACTAGACTTTGACTTTTGCGATGTATGTGACTTTTTTTTTTTTTTACTTGTACATAGATACTGTAAAAACTTGCTTGAACTATTTTCAAGTATTTATTAGAATCTTTAACCATTTGAAGGGTAAGTATAAAATAAAAAAAATGAAATTTTAAAATAAGTTATTTTGTGTAATTGTAATATGATACTTTATGTCAATTTAAATTTAAATAAAAATTTATTCTATTTTAAAATTGTTTTACCCAACTATATTAAAGGTACAAATAATAATTTATTTTTTACTTTAAAATATGTTTCTCCCATAATAGATTTAAAAAAGCAACACTTAAATTTGTGCTTTTCCTCCAATTGATGTGACGGAAACTTTAAAATTATGTTGAAGAAATTTTTTTTATTAAGTTCTATCTCATAATTAATTGAAGAAGAAAATTTATTCTACAACAAATATTATTAGATTTATCATTATTTGCTCTGTCTAAATTTCTAAGCAATATTTTTATTTTATAATGTATTACCCTGATGCATACTAAAAATTATAAATATTTTTTTAAATTTAGCGTATCATGCAAAATAAAATTAGCTTACTTTCTTTAAGAAATTTTTTGTCAATGCATCATGAGAAACATAAAACATGTATCATAATGAATTAAACAATATAATTTATGTCATAATGATATTTATAACTCATAATTATGGCCAAAAGTAAAAAATAAATATGAATAATGATTTTAAATTGAGCAAGTAGAAATATTAATATTATAGTACTATTATTAATCATATATATATATATAAACGTGCCTATAATGATAAAAATAATGACCAAGAGAAGTTTAGGATTAGGAGGTGTGCAATGAAAAAAAAAAATCATCAATCTCAAAGGATTAAATTTGAAGTACGTGATGTTGGATATAATGATTTGTGACATTATGTGTTAGTTTAAGTTTTGATGATGATAAATATAAAGAATTTAACTATACTTATGCTTAATGCTTTCTTATATATAGGTTTTTAACTATGACTATGGAATAAGTGTTTTAAAGTGTATTTACTTATAATGTTTCATATTTTATGAGATTTGAAAAAATAATTTGTGTGCGTTAAAGTTATTTTATACTGTTATAATTTTTCTTATCTTGAATTGATTCTATATTCAAAGTGTTCATATATTATCTTACATAATTTGAATATATGCATATTGATACTTGGACTAATAATGTTGTTCATGGCATATCATTTAAGGTTGTCTAATGTAAAGATGAGAGTAAACATGAAGAGGAACAAAGTTAAAGTTATTATTGGCATACTACACTCATGATTGAAAAACATAAAGAGAAGGATGATCCAATATGAGCTTAAAAAGAATGAAAACATCATATAAGCTTAGATTACCTTGAAAGCCTTAGACTTGATAGCTATAATATCATTAGGCTAGAAGTTTGATAGCTATAAATATCATTAGGTTAGAAGTCTTTGTGTTAAACTCAGTGATTTAGATATAAAGTATTGACTCAAGATATCTTAAATCAAAAATACATTTTAACTCTTAAGATAAAAAGTGAGATATAGTTTTCTATAATCATGATTTTCATCTTTCATCACATATATCTCACAAAGGTTGAAATGTTTTGATTACTAATTCCATAAATTTTTTTAAATTTGTTCTATTTACTTAAAATAGATTTAAGTTAAAAAATTCATGAACACTTGAAGTCAAAGCTTTGAAACATGAATTGTGTAGAAAATTAGTTTTGACCTTTTACCATGTTTCATATCATATCTCTTACTTCAAAGAAAATTTTAATGTAAAATATATCTCATTTGAAAATAAACTCCAACAGCTTTTCAATAATAGTTTATTTGTTCAAAATGGAG